CAGACCGGTGCTACTCCACCGTAAAGATTAATGTTGAGATTCAGAAGGTGGTGAGCTGAATTTGAATCCTGGCCTTGGGGCAAACTCCAGCTCGTAGCATTGTGCTATTTATGTATGAGACGGGGAGGGAAAGGAAACAGCAAACTCCAACCGAAACCGCCGTCTGCCTCTCCGACTCAGTGCTCTGCTGGGAGATTAACCCCCAACGGAGAGAGACGAAATCCTGGGCCAGGGAGATAAGACACTAGTGCAAACTCACACGCAAGTCACATGTAAGTCTGTGGATGGCAAACCCCACTATAACCACGTCTGCATGTGCGAAACTTAAAGAGCATTTTAACAAGACCCTCACATTTACACACACTCTCGAGTGACTGCAGGTGTAAAATGGCCCTCGTCTTGAAGTAATAAAGAAAGAAGCAGGAAGATCATGCAGTCCCAGGGCATCCATCGTTTCATTTTTCTTCACACTGTGTGAGATGCTTTTGTCTGAAAAGCGTCCGTCCATAGACTGAGCCTCCACTACCGCACTCATTATTCTTTAATTAGGGCTGATAGACACAAGGACCAAAGGACCGCGGATCAATTCGACTTCAGAGAAAACAATGCTGAGGCCATGCAAATCCCCCCGCTTCCTCATTTATTATGAATTGAATCAATGTCTCGCAAAAAACTTCAGACTAATTTTCGAGCCGTTACAGAGACAAGCAATGCACGAGACTCTTCCTCTCTGTTTAATCTTAACTCTGCCGTGGTTCGCCAGCGTCGCATTACTGGGAAAAAAACGAAACCGAAATGGAATCAGACCATTTCCTTCCCCCCTTCTGCAGAGTTTTTTGCCCCAAAGTCGCAAAATGGATCGATACAGTTCTTGTAACTGATTCAGAGCAGAAACCAGCAACAAGACAGATTTCCTCTTCTGTAGCATTTCGGTTTTTCTATGATGTCTGTTGACTTGGGCTTTTTATTATTTATGTGAATGAATAATTAAGGCAATGTCCACAACTATTCATGCTCAAAAGATGGACGTTAAAGTCAAGTTTATGCTCATCATCCATCAAGTTCCATAATGACTGATTTTCTAAAAGGAAACCTGACACATGGATGGCTCACACAGTTTCAGTTTGGTCTCTGAAGTTGAATTAAAAATTCATGAATCCATACTGAAAACCCTCTTTCGAATCAATCTTACGAGCTTTAAAACTTTTAAAAGCCCGATAAATCAACCCAAAAAAAAAAAAAGAAAAGCATTATATATGCAATCGGTTTGTGGTGGGGGATCCATTGAGCACCGGGGTGGAGGGACTGCATCAGTAGCAGAGATACCAACCGGGTCAATAAATGGATCAGGAAAGAGAGCAGATTCATGGGACAGAAACTGGAGACATCCGAGTCGGTGAGGGACAGGAAGCCACTGACCAAACCGCTCTCCATCATGGACAATCGATGACATCACCGCAGTGTAAATCCTCAGAGACAACTCATTCTCCACCAAACCCAGCCTTTTTTTCCAGTTACACTGACCTCTGTCTATCTAAAATGAACAGGTTTTTGCTAAAAAATGAGTCACAAGTGGATCAAACTTATTCTGGAGCACTAAACTTCTTTGTCCGTTTCTAACTAGTCTGTCGTAAAAGAGGGTCTATTTGAATAAAGTGAATGTGCTCGTGATTGCATTAAAAGGAAAACTTAATTATGAGCATTGTTTTGCATGTCTGTTTATAGCCAGGCCGTAATTACTTCAGCACTGCGGTGAGTTTCCACACGATCCTGGAAATAATTACTTGAGAAGAGGTGTGGGATGGACTATTTCTAGTCTGGAGGTCAGCTAACCACCACATACAGCCATCTATTTTATTGAGATCTCAGTTAAGTAATATCTTAAATCAATTGGATTTAAGACGGTTTTAAATGACTATCTAGGTTTTATTGACTTGCATTCTAATTGACTGACTAATTTCCCTTTGCTTATAAAATTGTGCTCTTTATGTGAATCTGTTCATTTATTAAGTATTAAACTTGCAGTGTGTAATTTTACCCAGATTTTTTTAATTAATGTTTTATGATCACTTTTTTTATTATTGTTTGTACTTTGTTTGTTAAACAATGTATGGTGATGTCGAGTGTCCAGAAAGGCACCTATAAATAAAATGTATTATTGTTATTATTGTTATTATCATTATAAGTGAAATGTAGATGTTTGCTACATGTTAATGGGTGGAAAAAGGTACCGATTTCCATCCTACAAGCTAAGTAATCTGCCCTCTGACATCTGAAGTTTAAATCTAAGATGTACTGCAGGGGCTGAACCAGAGCAGCTTTTATCGGCCTGAGTTTGAAAACCACCAAAGTCCTACGGATTTAAGGGAAAGATTTCAGATTGTGGCGTCACTCACTTAAAGGTTAGGTTAAAAGCTACAATGTGGAGGAAGTAGTTCAACTATTAACGCTTCTTTTTTTTTTCCCACCTTTTTTAACACATTGTTACAGGTGATACGCTCAGGTTTGCAAAAATATTCTCAAAGATGCATGTTTGAACAGTCATTACTCACCAGTCATCACTTAAAACAGAACTGATCTGGCAGATTCATGTAAAAATAGCTTTGTTAGTTCATAATATTACATTTTCTATGAACAATACATAGACCATAGCTTTAAGACTCCCCTAGCAATGCACCTTTACTAACTTCAGTCTTTGTATTTAGAGTTTTGACTTTGAACAGGCTTTCCTGGAGCACCTTGGATTGCTCTCCTAGTTTAGACGTTCAAATGAACTTTCTGTCATCTTGTATTTGTGTCCTTCATATCTCACAGCAGAACGTTGTTTTCTTTTTATTTGAACCTCTCATACCATCAAAAAATTTGAGTTGTAGATGGGCATTTCACCTAGTTTGCGATTTTTCTTTGTCTTTATGTGATCGGCATGATTGGTCTCCCTACGTTTAGCCTCGACTAGATGTCTTTAACGCCCCCTGAGGGGGGGCATCTTTGATTCTAAACCGCCTTGACAAGTGTCAAATAAGAAGGCTTTTGCACTTGTTGGCACAGATAACACACATGAGGAGGCAGCGTCCTGCCCTTAAAGCATTTATTTCCTTTCAACAAAGAGGAAGAAAGAGGGAGATCAACAGAATATGCCGTTATATATATGTTAATATATATTCAGGTAATTTCTCAGGTAATTTGACTTGGGTAATTTCGATATACATACACATATATATATATATATATATATATATATATATATATATATATATATATATATATATATATAT